AAAAAAAATAATAATAATAATAATAATAATAATAATAATAATAAAATTTTACAAGCTTAACCAACACTCAATAATAATCTTAAAATTTAAATTATTACAATCCAACAAATAACACAATAAGTCTTACAGTTCAAAAACCAAAATGCAAAGATCCAAACATGTCAAACGACCCAAATCACAAAATTAAAAAAAAAAAGCACATTGTTTTATTTAACATCAATCATTTCTATAAATCCATCAAAACACGTCGACAAACAACATCAACCAATCCATAATAGAATCTTCACAATGCACCTTCATCCAAAAATTAAAAAGAAAAATATTATGTCAAACACATGTTACCATAATTCACACACAATTAAAAATTTAAGTAAAAGAGAATGATATGGTATCAAAACCCCATAGTCAAATCTCCTCATCATTCGAATCATAAAACACCGTTGCATTTTTACCAACTGATGCATTTCCTATATTTATACAAAAAGAAAAACAAAAGTAACATATGTAGTCAAAGGAAACTTACGTATCAAAATTCAAATATCAAATTAAATTAAATTGATGTATAAATAGAAATGCTTACCTTGGTCGCTAAAAATCCAATTTTGTGCCCACATCAACGCCTCAATAGTCTTAGCCTTATAATGAAGTCTACTACGACGGGGGCTAATCAATAGTCCACTGTACTAAAAGCGGACTCCGAAGCAACCGTAGAGACGGGAATTGCTAAAGCATCACGAGCAATTTTATGAAAATTTGAATACTTGGTCGCATTAGACTTCCAACAATTCAAAACATCAAAGTTAGGCGTGCGTGGCAAAATATCATAATCCGAATATGTATCCAACTCCGATTTTGTAGATTTCCTTTTCCGCATAGAGACATACAAATTGTATCCACTTAGTGATCATTAGAGATATTACGATCAACCAATCCACTTGTATCACGACATCCACCACCCTTCGCCTTAGCCTCATATTGATGGAGGAACTCATGACACATATAAGAATCTCCTCAACCACATACTCACCATTAGTACCATAAATTTGTTGAAAATAGTATTCAACATGACATACTTATACCTAGAATCAAGCACAGTTGCAACCCCATGATATCATGCACAACAGACCAATAGTTATTAAATTTGACAACATTTCCCTAGCCATTGAATCAACCACATCGATACCGCAAGTAACCCAAGCATTCAAAGCAAGCTTAATTTTACAAATTTTTGGACAATACAAATTTGCAGTGGGGTATTCGGTACCAGAAAACAACTCAGTCGCCTTATAAAATAAGCTCAATCTCCCACAAATTTCATTTGTTAAGTGTTGTCAATCATTTTCAGTAGGCAAAGAATCATATTTTGAATCGCGAACACTTAAGCGAGCAAACACATCTTTATAATCCAACGCAATTTGTAGCATCAAATAGGTGGAGTTCAAACGAGTTTTACAATCAAGTGTAAGCTTTTTACCGAGTGTCATGCGAAGCTGACGAGCTGCCTCCTCAAATTTCTCCATTCTTTTGGGAGTTGCAGTGCAATAAGCGACACTTTCTCTCACTTTCTCCATTATATTTCCAATGACCTTCAATCAGGCTATGTTTGGTAAACCAAATAAGCTAGCTTATAGCTTATTTGGTTAGCTTATAAGTTTTTTGTATTCAAATAAGCCCCGTTTGGTAGGACGAGCTTATTTAAAAAGCTCGAGCTTATTTGATAAGCTTGTTTAGGTAGCTTTTCAAATAAGCTAGTTGAATTTTTTATTCCAGCTAGCTTATCAGCTAATTTTACCAAACACTTTTATCATATAAGCTAGCTTTTCAGCTATAAGTCATAAGCTATAAGCTATAAGCTCGAAAATTGCATATAAGCTATAAGCTAGCTTATCAGCTATCAGCTAGCTTATCAGCTAGTTTTACCAAACATAGCCTGCACCATCAAGTTCAGTATATGAGCTGCACATCTCATATGCACTAATTTTCCGCCGCACATCAAAGAGTGTGATGGAAGTTTTGTCGTGATGAGATTCATCATCATATCGTTGGTGGTACAATTATTCACCGTCAGTGGATAAAAGGAAAAAAAAAGAATTTATTTTAGTGACGACATGAAAGAATTTAATATATTAAAACATAAGAATTCACAATAGAATATTTATCATAGATACCTGATTATTTGAGATTGCAACTTCTAGTTATTGTCATCATAGTGGGCTGTGATAGCCATAAATCCTCTCTTCTGATGGGAAGACGTCCACATATCTGTTGTGATTGCAACCCGACTCTCATTGAGCTCTAAAACACGCATCACAACTTCCTTCAAATTTTTATAAACATTGAGACAATCTTTCTTTATCGTATTATCACAACCCGACTCTTTCTTTGTCTCAATGTTTATGAAAATTTGAAGGAAGTTGTGATGCGTGTTTTAGAGCTCAATGAGAGTCGGGTTGCAATCACAACATATATGCTGACGTCTTCCCATCAGAAGAGAGGATTTATAGTCATCACAGGCCACTATGTTGATAATAAGTGGAAGTTGCAATCTCGAATTATCATGTATCTATAATAAATATTCTATTGTGAATTCGTTGTTAATATTTCACTATTTGAGACTATATACATGTTTTAATATATTAAATACTTTCATGTCGTCACTAAAATATTTTTTTTCTTTTTACCTTACAGGTTCATTTATGTGTCGAGTCCACATACGAGTGAGGTTTTATGTGAAACTTCGATTGGATGCCTTTTTTTATTGGAACCTTGACGGTAAACTATCACTATGACGGTGGATAATTGTACCACCAACGATAAGATGATGAATCTCATCACGGCAAAACTTTCATCAGACTCTTGATGTGTGGCTAAAAATTAGTGCATATGAGATGTGCAGCTCATATTCTGAACTTGGTGGTGCAAGACGGATTGAAGGTCATTACTGTGCAAGACGGATTGAAGGTCATTGGAAATACAATGGAGAAGGTGAGAGAAAGTGTCGCTGATTGGACTGTAACTCCCAATAAAATGGAGAAATTTGAAGAGACAGCTCGTCAGCTTCGCGTGACACTCGGTAAGAAGCTTACACTTGATTGTAAAACTCATTGGAACTCCACCTATTTTATGCTACAAATTGCGTTGGATTATAAAGATGTGTTTGCTCGCTTGAGTGTTCGCGATTCAAAATATGATTCTTTGCCCACTAAAAATGATTGGCACTTAACAAAGGAAATTTGTGGGAGATTGAGCTTATTTTATAAGGCGACTGAGTTGTTTTCTGGTACCGAATACCCCACTGCAAATTGGTATTTTCCAAAAAATTTTTAGATTTAGCTTGCTTTGAATGCGTTACATGCAGTATCGATGTGGTTGAGTTAATAGTTAGGGAAATGTTGGCTAAATTTAATAACTATTGGTTTGTTGTGCATGGTATCATGGGGGTGGCAACCGTGCTTGGTCCTAGTTATAAGTATGTCATGTTTAATACTATTTTTCACAAATTTATGGTACTAGTGGTGAGTATGAGGAGGAGATTCTTGATATGTGTCGTGAGTTGCTCCGTCAATATGAGGCTAATGGGAAGGGTGGTGGATGTAGTGATACATGTGGCTTGGTTGATCCTAATATTTCTAATGATCCGTCACTAAGTGGATACGATTTGTATTCCTCTATGCGGAAAAAGAAATCTACAAAATCGGAGTTAGATGATGATATTTTACCACACACGCCTAACTTTGATGTTTTGAATTGTTGGAAGTCTAATGCGACCAAGTATTCAAATTTGCATAAAATTGCTCGTGATGTTTTAGCAATTCCGTCTTTACGGTTGCTTTGGAGTCAGCTTTTAGTACAAGTGGACGATTGATTAGCCGTATACTTCATCATAAGACTGTTGAGGCGTTGATGTGTGCACAAAATTGGATTTTAAGCGACCAAGGTAAGCATTTTTATTTATATATCAATTTAATTTGATATTCAAATTTTGATACGTAAGTTTCCTTGACTACATATGTTACTTTTGTTTTTCTTTTTGTATAAATGTAAGAAATGCATCATTTAGGAAAATGCAACGGTGTTTTAGGATTCAGATAATGAGGAGATTTGATTATGGGGGTTTTGGTACCATATCGTTCTCTTTTACCATTGGGAAGATTCTATTATTATGGATTGGTTGATGTTGTTCGTCGACGGGTTTTGTTGGATTTGTACAAATGATTGATGTTGAAAAAACAATGTGGTTTTTTTAATTTTTTTAGTTTGGCATGTTTGGATCTTTGCATTTTGATTTTTGAATTGTAAGATTTACTGTGTTATTTGTTGGATTGATATAATTTGAATTTTAAGATTATTCTTGAGTGCTTGTAAAATTTTATTATTTTTTGTGTAATGTGTAATTTAAGGTGATAATTGTTGAAATAAAAGGGGTATAAAAATATAGGTGGCCACTGGTAAAAAGGTGATTATTCTCGAGTGTTGGACCCGTCGCAGGTCACGGGGCAGGTCGGGTCCATTGGTAAAAACGCGGGCCAAGTCTAGGTACCCGGCCCGCCTGGCCATTGCCATCCCTAGCAATTATGAACACTGCACTATGTTGGATATATGTGTATGCATTTGTCTTCCAAAGAATGGCAATTAACAATACGAAGGAGAATGATGAAGAACGGCTCTATCGAGTAACGAACATGAACACGACGTGATTTTGAAACAAACTTGATTAAAGAATTCAAATGAATGAACAAAGTCAAGGCACATGAACCACGCTCTATGTAAAACAAAATTTCCACCGGTTAATGCTCATGGTTTTTTTACAGTGATAGATCTAAAAATTTCATTCAGGGGGGCCCGATTTTAAATGTTAAATAGTGAGCTTGTAGTTTAAGTCGAAACACTCATTTCATATAGAAATGTATTTACTATAAATATAAATATTGATACGTGTACCATCAAGGTTTTAAAAATTTAGAATCCGTATCACCCTCAAATTTAAAAAAAAAAAAAAAAAAAGAAGGATATTTCATGTATTTATAATTTAAGTTCAACATCTGAAAAAATAAGTTTTTGGTTGAAAATTTGATTTAAATTGAACTTTTACACAACATTTCATAGCATTTTTGTTGATGAAAGCTCATCAAAGGAACATATTTTTTAGAAAAAAATGAATAAAGTTAAAAATATGTGATTACACACCAAAAGAAAAAAGAGTAAAAAATCAACATAAAAAAATGTAACAATCCAACTAACAAATACTCGGTTTTATAAATCACTAAATCTATTTACAATTAAGAGACCAAAAGAGTAAATCATTGTAAATATTTTCAAAAGTTTATATAAAAATATAAAATATAAGGATTGTTAGTATATTTATTAATAAATAAGATAATATTATTAATTTAAATAAAAATAGCATAGTAAATAAGTTTTAATTGGTCATATATTGTAAATATTTTTTACATTTCCATACATATTTTATACTATTTTCTTTATATATATATTGATTTTTAATAACTTTTAATTATTAATATATTGTAAATATTTTTTGTATTTCTATAGATATTTTATAATATATATATATACTGATTTTAAGTGGGGGCTCATGGGCCCCATGTAGCTCCGTCAGTGGTTTTTGACAAACATCTCCGAAATTCTTGTGTATAGTGGCACTTTAAATACACGTTATTTCAACAAACTTATGTGTCTTTAGAACTCTCAAAGAAATAAAAATAATAATAAATTAACACACGATACATGAACTATCTTATGTTCTACCTCAAATTTTTTTTATCTTTATGTTTAATGTCTCTAATCTTAATGAATTTCAAGTCATAGAGGTATTTATAGATGTTCTTAGGCATCTCCAAGAAGTTCATTGTGTAAAAAAACCTTCGAGGACGTGCCCGGTCATCCAAAACCGAGTTGGAACCTTTTCGCCATGAGTAGGTGCATCTAGGTTGCAACTTGCGAGGCACGACGAATTTTGTGTATGTCCACTGTCACCCCTGCCCGCGTGCCTTGAGCCCGTATTCGCTGGTCCAGACTCCAAACATTGCCCAGTTTTTTCCTACTCATCGCCACGAATCCTATTAGAGTTCTAGCATGCCTATTGCATGATTATATCTCGTTTGCTTTGTCCAAACATTCATAAAAAAGTGAACGATTGCCAATTCAACAATCTTTGTGTTACTTAAACTCAATTCTGAGTTACATAAACTCAATTTCCCCACATTTCAATCTTTAGAATTAATTTCTCATTCTATCTATAAATTGTATTTTGATATTTTTATTTTATCCAAGTCTTCCATTATTAACAATAGTACTGTAAAATAGGTACAAAACCAATTTTTTATAGTACCATGTACTTCATAAGTTATGTTCCATATTCAAGTGTGGGATAATCTGCTCCTCCACGATTCATCCATTTATCAGTAATCTTTGAACCTCTTTAGTCTTTATCACTGAGACCTTTTAATGGATCCATAGTTTAGTCTGGTTACAAACCAAATAAATTTAATCTGAGATTGATGTAGGGTATAGATATGATATTTGAGCCATTCTTCTTTGTTTATAATTCTTTGTTTTTCAGGCATCCAAATCTATAGAAGATTCTATTCGGAAGAAAAGGAAATGTCAAATGGTGTTCTTGCTATATGTGTTAAAACGCCGCCTTCTCAGCCTCATGTTATTATGGCCTCCCTACTTTCAGTGAGAGCAGTTGCTTGCAATACTCTTCTTTAGTTTATGATTTCTTGATTCCTGAAATAAGATGAAGTTACATTGTTGCTTTCATGTTTTTTAGAAATAAAGTACTTAACTTCTAAAGAACATAAAACTTAAATCACAAATTGACAGGTGTGCACATCGAATATTTGAATCTTGGAATTCATGTAACTGGTATATCATGGATCTTGGTCCCGTGATGAATATACAAGTGATAGGCGACAAATATTCTTTCCATATTCGTCTCTTGTGTGTTACTTTCATATCCATCACTCTTAAATTGAATATTCATCCTTGCATATGTATTATCAATGACATTCAGATTTATATGCAAGTAATGGTTGATGAATATTATATTCAACTTCATTACCCATCTCATCACCCGTCACTTGCATATTCATCCTTGCATATTATAACATTCATGATGAATATAATGAATAGTGTGTTCATTTTTCACTTGTCTCGTCACTACAAATGGTAATTGTTGATTATGCAAGCAATGGGGATGAATATTGTATTACATTTCTCTCATCTCATCATTGTCACTTGCATTTTCATCATTTTTCATTTGCATGGTTATGCAAGAGTGCTATTAAATTAAACGAGTCTGGCTCGACTCAGCTCGAGTTCGAGGCCTTAATGAGTCGAGCTCGAGCTCATTGAAAGCTCGTTTAGTTAACGCTCGGCTCGATAGGCTCAAAAAGAGAATTTTTATATAATTTTTTATAGTTCGACTCGTTAAAGCTCGAGATCGGCTCGTTAAGCCTCGAGCTCGAGCTCGATTTGTGGGTCGTTAAGAGCTCGAGCTCGAGCACCTTAAGCTCGAGCTCGGCTCGGCTCATCGGCTCATTTACAGCCCTATGCAAGGACAAGCAATAAGTATCATCTTCATATTCATTGCTCGTCGCTTGAATTGCATATTTGTATATTCATCACTATCATTTTCGTATCAAGCCCTTGAAGGAACTTGCCAGTTTGTCTACTCCATTTGCACATTGGTTATGAGCGGGTTGTAAGATCTTCTGTATCTTTGCTCTAAACAATGTCAGGAATTTAATCCGTCCTTTCATGCTTAAAGCTAGAGTTGATACCATAAAACCTAAGTTGTATAACCCTAGTCCAACAAATCTACCAACACCCCTTGTGCTGATGTAGTTCTCTTATATCTGGTTAAATCTTTGTTGCTAGTATTGAGATTTAATACTCTTCCATGGTTCGCAACTTCAGTAAAGGCAGTCCTCTCTCATCAACAGTGTGCATGAAGAAAATAATAAGTTTTTACGCCAGCATTCTTCCATCCAACCTATTTCATTTTCTTGAAATTGCTGTATTTCTTAATTTACTGCCTTCTGAAACCTAAACTCAAATGAAATGACATAATTCTATGTGTTCAGAGGGATGCATGCCAAAATTTGAAATTTTATTCATGCCCCTGAAGTTTCATCTTCGCCATTTGTTTCTTGATTTTTATACTTTAGCTTAACATAATAAATAATTAGAAATGACAAGTTGTAAGATCTCAAGTATAATAAATTCTAGCAACACTAATTTACTCTAGTTAGTTCCATTAAAAATGAGAAACAGATTCTAGCGTAGTGTCTCAGACATTTCAGATACGGAGCTGATAATCATTGCCTAAAATATACCCTTTAAATATAGTCGAAACAAACAGATTCATAGGCATCCCAGTATTAAGATTCTGGCTTCCTCACCATCATTATTACATAAACAAGGTGTTTGTATTTAACACTATGGTAAGCAAGCTTCACGATAAATGTGTATTTTACTGGAGGCTTTGCCCCTCTTTGTTTCTTAGTTCCAATTTCCAGAGCCCAAACCACAGATGCGTTACGACTTACGATCATATTACTTACAGCTGATTATCTATTAGGCTGATGTGTGTTATTTTTGCCTCAAGAATGTGGAAAGAAAGGAAAATGTCAATGATCTTATCCCTATTGATTGAAAAAGGTTGGCTGATTTACTAAGTGGGAATTACTTTCTTTAAGATTGTCTCGCTATCTTTTTCTTCGTAATCACACAACCATAGAACACATACATCAGCAGAAAACAGGAAAAAGCTAGAGTAATTGAAAACTACATGTAACTTGCATGGGAAGCATGTATCCAAGAATTAAAAATGCATTCTTGATTTCCAATCATGTTGATCTGAATTTATTTGAGTAACCAGCTCGAGCAATCTTTTGAGATGTATTTGGGGCCTCTTGTATTTTAAGATTTGGTTGCATGCCATGTGTAGGATTTGAGTTACAGTGGAGTTCAGAAACTTCTTGGCTTTGTTGAGACTACAGGAACAAATCCAGAATTACTTCCTCCTTCAGCTTCAACTCTACTGTCAACATTTTCGGCACCACATAATCCTGATGTATGATATGCCTCATGACGATTTTGATGGAATTTTGCATGTATTTGAATAATTTCTTCCTTGTTATGTTTATGTTCCTTGCCAATACTATTACAATTGAGTTATAAAAGAAGCATCAGTCAGTTGAACTGAAACAGGCCGAAACTGTTTCTCCTGTAATTCTGTTCATGAATTTTTCACATCAGCACCGTATATTACTGTGTTCAAAATTCTGCTGTCCCCTGTCTGTCATCTTTGTGTAAATTGTTTTCTTATTAGCCACTTATATTTCATTGGTATACAGATACTGCTTCCTATTACGATTAATTATTGTGCATGTGGTTGTTGGTGATGATGCTGCATCATATTCGACTGCTTATTATTTTGTCTTGATGGGCTTGAGGTTAAAGGTTCAAATTTGACAAATGGTGCCAGGGCTCTGGCAAAGCATGTTAACAGAAGCAGAGAAGGATATTGGGGCTTCTTACGTGGCAGCGGTCAGTTCCCTTTCTTTCTGGTTCTTCAAAGGTTGTGTCTTGTAAATACAAGTGAATATGTTAACTGACCAGTTCACTCACTGAATGTTAAAGCTGCAATACGAGCAGGAACCGAAAATGCTTAAAAAAGGAGCAACTTAGAGGTCATGTATCTTGAACAAAGAAATTATTTGTTAGAATTAAAGTGTACTTTGGCAAGAATTATTGAAGGCAAAGTAAGTCTAGACACCCAAATCCAGTTGTTATATTTTTCTGGCAGGACCTCGAAGAAACTGAATATTGGTCTTAAATGCAAGGTTGGCTTTCGAATAGAATTAAATAATATTTTTTTATGTGTGTGCATGCGTGTGTGTTTTCATCTTTGTGTTTCCAAGGGGCTAATGGTTTTTCTTGGCTTTAAATCAATTCCTATAAGTTTCTAGTGTTTCTTTTGAATTTCCTTATACCTCACTCTCCTTCCTCCCAACAGATCACTTTATTGTTTATACATTCAATAGTTTCAAAAACGGTTATGCCTGGTGTCTGCATATGTTCCCTTGAATCGTTATATCATTTCTTGAATCAATGGCCCAACAAACTTTAAGTGCACAAAGTGTGGTTTTTCATTTATCTCTTGTTGGGCAAATACAAACACAAGTTGCTATCTCAAGGAGCTTTGGTGTACACTTGATCGACAAGTCAAGCCGATTACGCAAGATATGAAATAGTTGAAAATGTGCTTGTGGCATTTATATATGACTTGAGTTATTGATTTGATAGGCTTGACCAATAGTATGGATATTTAACTCTGCATTTTATGCAATGATTATGCTCTAGCCACTCGAAGCATGCATATAGAATGGTGAAAACTCTCTCGGAAAGATTTAACTCTCAGTTAATAACATGCATAGGTCCTTTGGACTCTGTATGCAGACTCTGAGAAAAATAGGCACGCAATGGATGTAATTAGAAGCCTCTTGACCCACTGTAGCTGGATGAACATGCATATTGTTCGACCACATGGAAATGTCTTAGAGGTTAGGACGGATGATGGTTATGGTGCAAGGTGGTCTGAGGACGGATCTAAGGTATAATCTTTGTTCATTGCCATTGTATGCATGCTATGCTTAAACAGCTGACAATGGCTGTTGATCATCACATGCAGTTTATAGGATTTCTAGAGCCTTACATGGTGGATGGTTACTCGTGCGGCTGGAAACATTAGTTCACTCTCAACTCTATTTCAACGTAAGGAATTCGAGCCACAGTGGTGATATGGGTGTTCTGTTTGCGTGACGATTGTGAAATTAGTTCTGTTACATATGAGTAATATAAGAAGGAAAAATCTAATTTAACGTCATAAACTTGTCTGTTTTTTTTTTTTNNNTTTTTTTTTTTTTTTTTCCCAATGTATATCTTAAGCTATTAATCAGACAAATTTATCCTAATATACAATCTGTTAGTAGTTTTTCAACCCTCAAACAAAAATACCCTACAATTAAATAAATGTATTTTGGTCCATTAACGATGAAATACGCCCCAGTTTAAAATAAATAAATAAATAAATAAAAATTTATTTGTGGTCAATTATCA